GAGTTAGACGCCGTTACGCTTAGCCTTATGCGTAAATCGCGATGCGGTTTTGCGGATATTCCCGATCACGCGTGAGCTGGCCAGGCGCGAAAATGGCCGAAAACGCGCCTCACGTGGAATTTTCAGGTAGCTAGCGAGGAACTCTCGCGAACGGCCGAAGCGGCGTTCGCATTATGGGCGGTGAATTCGTTGCTAACCTTCGCGCGCGATCCGCTGCAACCCGATATATTGATATCGTATCAAACGGGCGCGCACACTTACGCGAATTGCAGGAATATAGGCATTTGCCCGGCGACCTTCGACGGTCCCGGGGGAGCCCTAGCTCACGCGTTCTTTCCCTCTGGAATGACCGATTTCGCGTCAGAGGTACACGTTGACGATTCAGAACCGTGGCACGTGTATCTAAATAAAAATCCTCCCAACACGCATCATTTGTTGCAAACGCTGACGCACGAGATTGGCCACGCTTTGGGTCTACAACACAGCATGCGCAACGACTCGATAATGTTTCCATATATACCCGATATCAAGAATCAATTTCCAGTTAAGTTGAGCATAGAGGATATTCTGGCTATGGGCGCCAATTTTCAATCGTTATGATTTGGACCGCTCTGGAGACGTGCTGGGGATTTCGTCTCTCCGTGACAATCGGCACTGCATCCATTGAGCGAGATTCCAACATCGCTCTGGAGTCGTATGTACTGTGTTAGAATGGCGTAAGGTGCGAGGTCTGAATAGCTCAGTGGTAAGAGCAGTTGCCCGGAAAGCGAAAGACTCGGGTTCGATTCCCGATTCAGCCACTTGTACCTCGCATATTTTTTCAGACCCGCAAATGTTGTTTTCTAACAATTATTTGTCGGGCTGAGGAAGTGTGTAAACGCCCTACACAGACACGACAGTGCCGCTGCCACGGAAGAGATGGATGCTTGGTTCGTGCCTCCTCCCGCCTTAAATCCCCCCCTCGCTTCACTCTGCGGTGTACATCTGTGCCAGCGTAAGTGCTGGTAATCTGTCCACTAGATCCACCACGTGGTGACGGTGGAAGATCGTATTATTAATTGGGAGCAGAAGAGGGGGCTGCTTAGGCGTAGTGGTTTAGGATGGACTACTCAAGGAGGCTTCCATTCATACTGGTGGTGAGTCAAGACTCATCGCTGAGCGGCTACGGGCGCCAATTTTCAATCGTTATGATTTGGACCGCTCTGGAGACGTGCTGGGGATTTCGTCTCTCCGTGACAATCGGCACTGCATCCATTGAGCGGAAAGCGAAAGACTCGGGTTCGATTCCCGATTCAGCCACTTGTACCTCGCATATTTTTTCAGACCCGCAAATGTTGTTTTCTAACAATTATTTGTCGGGCTGAGGAAGTGTGTAAACGCCCTACACAGACACGACAGTGCCGCTGCCACGGAAGAGATGGATGCTTGGTTCGTGCCTCCTCCCGCCTTAAATCCCCCCCTCGCTTCACTCGTATAGTAAGTTTACGCTGTACTAATCCATTGTTTTTACAACGAAAGTCTGTTTACGACTTTTAAGCGTGGGCGAGAGGCAAAGCCTCTCCCCCTGCATCTCCACCCTCCCCCCGCAAAAAAAACTGACCAAATGCAAATCTAATTTTTATTCAAAAAATAGAAATTGGTTTGCGTTAGGTTAGAATTTTTCGGGGCGGGGATGCAGAGCCTCTCCTCCATGCATTCACTTTGCAATGATTGTAAACAAAACTTTTTCTAGTTAGAAAATGACAAATACATTAGTACGACGTACACAAACTTCATTCTTCCTATTATTTCATAATATATAAAGAAAAATATTAAGATGGTCAAATTTTAATTTGTTATATTTCCTAAACTAATGCCGTTCACCATTTGATTTTTGCGGAAAATTATTCAGAACAATCTCCCTTATATCATATCCAAGTGGCGATAAAATCGGTAAGATGTGATCTATTATGTATATTTACCAAATTTATATAATCAAATATAAATATAATAAAATATGTTTATATATCAGTTAAGCATGAGATACAATGGCAATGAGAGCACAGCGCATAAAAGTTTATTACAAACAAAATCTCAATTGTATCTCAATTGTATCGTAAAGCGAACGTTTCGGCCCTTTTTTTGGGGCTATCATCAGCGCACGGAATAATAATATCAAAAAATATTAAAAAATGAAGATGGAAGGAGAGATTGATGGCGGGAGGCACTACACCTGTAATGGCTGTAAGGCAGGCTGAGATGGTGGGCGTCTGCAAGGCGGTGCGGCGGCCGGCAGGGGTGCAGGAAAGGATGGGATCCCTTATGGAATTACTCAATAATAAGGTTCCTAGCAACTATGAAATCAAGGTATTACGAGCGGAGCAAGTTAAAATTAA